ATTATTCCACAGTATGACTAGATCTTTAACAGTAAGATATTCCTTTTTCAGGCCCTCATCAAGGTGATGGCGTAGGAATATCATTGCTTTGGCACGGTCTTGGTTTGATGCCTGATTTTTATCTTTGATGGTGTCTGCCAGACCCGTCGATAAATTTCAGCATCAAGCACCCAAGACATGTAGTTTTTTCCCGATATATCCAAGGGTACAATTTCAAATTTAGAAGATTTGTCATTATTTAGAAAAATAAAGTTCGAAGCTTTGTATTTTCAAAGCATTTGCTCGAGATAATAGAGTCTCGTGCTAATAACATGTTATAAAATAAAGACTAGAAGTAAATAAATTAGAGACAAGTATAGAGAGACAGATATATTATTCAACTTCGAACTGATNAATTTGACATTATTTAGAAAAAGAAAGTTTGTACCTTTGAAACTTCAAAGTATTTTTTCGAGATGGCAGAGTCTCGTGCTGATAACGTGTTATAAAATAAAGATTATAAAGTAAAGACAAGTATAGGGAGAAACTGATATATTATTCAAACTTTAAACTTATATATATAATGAACTGAAAACTTCTCTATTTATAGAAGAAAGGAAGCAACTGTGAGGCTTTTCAGGAAGCAGCTGCAAGGCTTTTCTTTAGCTGCTTGTAAGTTGTCTGCATGAGCTGCTTGCAACCTGCCTGTTTAATAAGAAGCTGCTGCAAATCATTTCATTGAGCTGCTTACAACCCTGCATCAGCTGCTTGTAGATAAACTTCAACAGAGTACTAAATGGATAATCTTCTTCAGGAAGATTATCTATAGCTGAGTAATAAATGGACATCCATAATAATTATTTTCATAACACTAAGGACAAATATCATATGGATTTTACTCATCAACCTATCAGCGCAAAGAATGCACCATTTAGGGGTGGAAAAAAAGAGGGTCGAGTCGGATATATAATAACAACAACAAATTCTGTATGGATATCCTGCAACTAAGATATGGAGATAGTAACGTGTACGCAAACTTTACTCCTACCTTGAGAATGTATAGATATTATTTGCATGGGTCGAAAATAGATAATGCAAATAACGGATAAAATATTTTACCCGCTCATATTTAATACTGATAGAATATGAATACCCATATTATCCATGACTTATTGAATGCGATTATTTTTGGTAGAATTCCTAATCTCCTAAATTAGAGGAACCTCCAATTTAAACTTATTGGTTATCTATTAAATATCTATTATTCAAGTAAATAATATGGATCTTATCCATATTTGATTTATTTTTTAAAAATTTATTATCCAACCTATTTTTTAATAAATAATATGGTTGAATAATTATTTTTAATCTATTTTGCCATCACTATACACTATCAATATGAATTTTTATATTATTAATTCCCCATAGACACCACTATACACTGTCAAACTCAAACAAAAACAAAAAAATAATTTTCTTTTGTCAAAAAGAAGCTTCACTTTCTTTGGTGGCCGTTGATTTTTTTTTTTGCAAAAGAAGCCAAATATCCCAATCATATATTTTTCACTTTCCCTTTTATTATTTATACTGTCAGCGTGTGTGAGAGAGAGAGAGAGAGAAAGAAAGGAAGCTATAAATGCGAGCAGGTTTGTGTGGGTTCTTTTCGCCTTGGCTTAGCAACTAAGATTACACCTTCCTCTTAACTTCTTCTCTTTTTATTTTATTTATATTTATATACCCTTTTTTCTATATATATATATATACAACGCTACTTTCAAAAGACTACATATTGATATCTGTGTATATAGCAGTATCACAAACCCCAAAGAGTTTTCTTGAATTGAACAAAGATGGAGTTTTACGCATACCCATCTCGTGCTTTGCCTTCATCGTCATCATCCTCTCTTTCTTCTTTTTCAATCGGAGATTTGGTTGATAGGGCCAAAGATTGCTTCTGCCTTGCCGTCTCTACAATCGTTGGCAATGTATTCTCTGCAATCTTCACCTTCTTCTTCGCACTAGGTGGGTTTTCTTTTTCATTCTTATTTATTTTATTTGATTGTGTATGTTCCTCTTTCTGCCGTGTGGGTTATATTTGATTTACCCCAAATTGTTCATCCCATTTGATGGCTTACAATTCGGTGTCCTTGTTAAATTTGTCCCGTGACTTAAAATTAGGGTATGAAATAATCTGAAAATGGACAAATTTTGGCTTTTTAACCCAATATTTGGCCATTCTATTCAAAATATGATGGAGATATTCGGCTTCCTTCTCTCAGTTATATCTGTGTGTGTGCTTTTTGTTGGTGATTATGTTCCAAATGTTTAGGATGTTTTAGAGGAACCGCTTGCTTTAATTTCTTAAAGTTATTTTCTTTGATGAAACTAATAAGGAATGGACTTGATTATTTGCAGTGGGCACCTTATTAGGAGCAATGACTGGAGCTTTGATAGGGCAAGAGACAGAAAGTGGATTTGTTAGAGGTGCTGCAGTTGGTGCTATCTCTGGTGCTGTTTTCTCTCTTGAGGTCTTTGAATCATCTCTATTGCTATGGCAGTCCGATGAATCTGGAATTGGATGTGTTCTTTACTTGGTAAGCGTTATTGCTTCTTTCTCACTGATATTAGCTGACAAATTACTTAACTTCTATAAAAGGGATAACTTTATGTGAGAAAACATTTTCCTTTCCAATAGAGTAAGATCCAATCTGTGTCCCAGTATCCCACCCATAGTGGTTTCACCCCACACTGCGAGGTTCGACCACCCCCCTAAAAAAGTAAAAGGATACAAGAAAGAATGAGAGAAATGTAAGTTCTGTTTCATGATCCATTGGCATATGATTAACTGATAAAACTGTTGAATTGTACAGATTGATGTAATAGCGAGCCTGTTAAGCGGTAGATTAGTTCGTGAGCGGATTGGTCCAGCTATGCTAAGTGCAGTGCAAAGTCAGGTATGTTGCAGCCTCATTGGTAGACCTATAGCTTTTTTACCTGAAACTTGATTTACCTTCATTTGTGACGCGGGCTTGTTGTTGGACAGATGGGAGCTGTTGAAACTGCATACGAAGAGATCCCTAACATTTTCGATACAGGCGGGGCAAAGGGTTTGCCTGGAGATTCTGTTGAAAAGATCCCCAAGATTATAATTGCAAATGATAATGATATGGATGGTTCTGGAGAGAGAGTCTCCTGTTCAGTCTGTCTACAGGTAAAACACACTTATACCTTTTGTTTGCTCTTCCTCTTTCTTTTATTGAATTTACTTGATCAATTCTAAACACTGTTTGTTGTTTCATTGTTTCCAGGACTTTCAACTGGGAGAGACTGTTAGATGCTTACCACAATGTCATCACATGTTTCACCTTCCCTGCATTGATACATGGCTTTTGAGACATGGATCTTGTCCATTGTGCAGAAGGGATCTGTAGGTGACCATACTCTGTAAATTATAACATGGTTATTTTTTTTCTTCATACTCTCTTATAGGATTTCTCTATTTCTTTTGTCCTCACTTGTACCAATTTTCCTGGAAATATAATGTAATTAGAGTATGTGCTCCTTTGAGCTTGGTCCTTGTAGTTGATAACCACTCCTGTACAGAATTAAAGAATTTGAGCAATCATAGTGTACTACTTCCACAAAATAGTAGTCTTGTATTGATGTGCCACTTGTTTTGCAATCGACTTGTGCAAGAGAAGGTCTACCATGATTCTGATTACTTAACAGGACACATCTCATTCTGGATTTTGTTGTGAATTTGATTTACCTCTTAGACAAGGTGCTTTCAAGAACAATATTTGGCTGACCAAAATTGACTAGTTTAATCTGTGTGGAATCCTATGCCTATTGTAAATTATAAACTGCTTGTGGTGCTCTGTATAGATAAAAACTTTAGTTAAGTATTGAAATGAATATGTTTAAGAAGTGGTTGATTTTTCTCAATCAAGGAGGAAAGAAGAACTAGGCGGCCAAAATATCTTCATTCCAGGAATGTTCATGCACCAAACATTCTGCTGCTGATCTTTTAACTTACACCTCTGCATAAAGTCATACCTAAATTTGGTAGTTGCAGTAAAAAAATATTTTTTTTATTCAAGTCTCAACTTGGCAGGCCTGTAGCCAGTAGATATATGAGAGATTTGCTGTGCCAATTGCAGGATATTGAGATGGTCCATGATTTTTGAATTTGATCAACAATTGTTAGACTTTCCCTTGACTTTTGCAACTTTATAAAAGTTAGTTATGTACCTCTCCAATAGACTTTTGGAACTGCTATACATTAGAGGGCTGACAATTCTTCCTGTTTATGTGCTTTCGTGGCCTTTCTTTGTTTTAGTGTTTGACTTGATCAAGCTCCTTGTTTGGTCCAGTAAATACACCTCGATCTATTTACTTGATTATATGATGGTTGTTATACAAATGGTTACTGGTTTTCTTATGAACTAACAGTAACACCCACTCCCTAAACACCCCCCCCCCCCAAAAAAAAAAAAAAAAAAAAAAAAAACAATCAACATTTATAGCCCAAAGTTTTGGAAGTTGGGAATGCAGGTCTGGTGCCTTTATTAATGTTTGAAAAATTCAATACAACGAATAGTGGAGAGCTAACATTTATGCAGCAAGTGGTTCGCAGTGAACTGACTTGTTTATTCAAGAAGACCAAACTACATCTACAGACTTAAATGTCATTTCTATTTTCTTGCGTGCAGGAAAGTTAAAAGACAGAAAAATCTGAAATGAAAGCGCTTTACACTTCAGCTAATGGAGCCTTCTTCCAAGCCTAATATCTGTCCTATAAATGCTTTATTTCTGTTTGAGTAACCACTGATTTTATATTTGGTGGGTCATCATTTTGGACATGTTGAACCATTTAAATGCTTCCAAATAAAGATCCACTATAGAGAGCAGGAATTAGAAAATGCATAGTGTCAAAATAGTCTTGAAGATTTCAGTTGGTCAAAGAAAGCTACTTCTCATAACCTTGCCACGAAACAAAACGATTAAAGAGTATTAGTATATTGCGTTTAATTTCAAAATGAATGTCAATAAATGCCTATTGCGAGGCAGATTGTGCGTGTTCACGTCTCATCTTTGTTGTCGTAAAATAACATAGTGGTAGTAATAAATAATCACAATTTGAATTGATGTATCAATGTCAAATTGACTAGAGATCAGCTAAGAGAGGGGGCCATTGTAGGCAATGTAAAACTGTGGAATGTTCTAGAGAGATTTTGTGAATTGTTTTCAGTTATGCAAATAAGGAAGAAGACACTCCTTTTATACAGTGTGCTTCTTAACTAGACACCTAATAGTCACGTGTCCTCTCACTGTATTCTAACTGCTCCTTAACTAACTAATTCTAACTGAAATATATTTCCAATAATCAAGAAAACGAAATGTTCTTTTTTCGACATGAATTCGAATATGTTAACTATGTAACATAGTTACTGTATATGATAAAATTGGTTCATATTAATTACTCGTATAATAGAGCGGCACGTGGAACCAAAAACAAATAGAGAGCGATACGTGGAACCGAAGATAGATGGAAAGCGAAACAGGTGGAAATCAAGACAGGGGGCACCAGTTTCGGTTGGTGCCGGAAATCCCCGAAGGAAATATTGCTAATGAAGACAAATGAATGACTGCCACCCGATAGCATTCAACGAAGAATATTCTGCAGCATTAGATACACAGTCTGTTATAGAGGTTCAAAGGTTCTTAGGGTTCCTGGTGTCAAAGGAGGATCGAAGTCAATCCCGATAAAATTAAAGCCATTGAGGACATCCCCGACCATCTATCAAATTTGAAAGAGGTTCAAAGGTTAACAAGAAGACTCGTCTCTTTAAGCAGATTCATTTCCCGGTCTTCGAAAAAATGTTATCACTTCTTCTCACTTCTGAAAAAGACGAACAACTTCGAATGTACGCTGGAATGCCATCAGGCTCTGAAATATTTGAAAAGGTATTTATCGAGCCCTCCATTTATCTAAATACATACACAAGATGTACACAAAACTTTTAGACCCGGCAACTCCAAAGGACGGGGAGCTTACCGATAAAGCTGAACTCGGGCAACACCTACTGAGGAGGTCTACCCGTCTGTCTGTCTGAACCTGCATTCATGAAATGCAGCACCCCCAGGAAGGGACGTCAGTACGAAATAGTGTACCGAGTATGTAAGGCAATATACTGAAAGCTGAAACTAAACTGATAATATAATAACTGAAAGCAACTGGGGGTTAAAGATAATCTGAAGATATGCTCACATGCTGATACTGACTCTATTATAGTAAGTAAAATAGATGTCCGGCCATATAAGGCTCGGTATATATATGTAACTGCTATGCTGTAGTAGGCTCGCTCATAGGCGCTCGGCCATACTAAGATCTGTATCTCGGCCAACTGGGCTCGCTCATAGGTGTTCGGACATACTAGGCTCGGTATATAACTTACCATCTGATCAGAGGTTGCCCAATAGGGGCCTGCCCTTCGATTATAGCTCGATGGTAATAAAAATACTGTAATATAGTATATATAGACTTTCTGCTCTCTTGACTGAAAAAAGGAAATACTCAATTGAATATGAAGTCCCGATAAAGAGAATATTGTAACTTACAAGACTAGAAAAATATACGTAAATTCCAGGACATGAATTTCTCTTTATGTCTCGTTATCAAATGCATGTAATTACGTGATCATTCCAAAATGAAGGAATGGCTTAGCCTTAGCATACCTGGAGTAGGGAAAATTCTGTTTGATATTCTTGAAAAAGATTGCACCGTACTCCTTTAAAACCGCAAAATTTTACGTTGCTAAGGTTCTAATAATTCTTGTTGGAATCAATTTGATCGCAAGAATTTTGTTTGTAGGAAATCTCTAACGTTCTGGTTGTAGGAACTTTGTAGGAATTTTGTCAGAACTTTCGTTGCTAAGGTACCAAACCTCCCATCTGATTGTAGTATTGAAAATGTTAGAAATGAAGTAGTGATCCTGTCTGATTGTAGTATTGAAATTGTTAGAAATGAAGTAGTGTATAACTAACACATTAGATACCACCTAATGAAAATTGACTAAGAGTCACTTCTTCAAGAGGTGAATTGATGCCACGTGGGGGTGGGGGTGAAAAATTTAATCTTTATCCAATTATTAGGTAGTTAGGTAATATTCCGATATCCGATAATTAATCAATACCCGCATAATTAAGAATTGTCTCAAATTACTTAAAATTTACTTATTTTTGATACACTTTATATATCATACTATCATGATCATATGGTACTTTATATGGTGCTAGTTCATAAATATCGAGTATTATAGCTCTGACCGTATATTATCTTAAATCGGTAATTTTTAATGAAACTCATTTTCTTGAGGTAGCGGTAAGTGCCGTTTTAGTCCGTGAATACGGAGGTACGCAATCTCCAATCTATTATGTTAGTAAAATTTTAACGGGAACGGAAACTCACTACCTACATTTGGAAAAATTGGCCTTAGCTCTTGTATTAGCCGCTCGAAAGCTTAGGCCTTATTTTCAATTTCATCTAATAGCCATGGTGACAACCTTTCCTCTGTGAAATATCCTTCACAAACCTGAACTATCTGGTCGATTGGACAAATAGGCAGTCGAAATGAGTGAATTTGACAGAGAGTATAAACATAGGATTGTGATCAAGTCACAAGTTTTGACCGACTTTGTGGCCGATTTTAGTCTTGGACTGCTACCCTTGGCCACCAAAGAAGCGGCAATGGTGTCAGAATCGACATCGGAATTCTAGAACTTGTTTACGGACGGAGCTTCCAACGTAAAAGGGTTTGGGCTCGGGGTAGTACTAATAACACCCTCAGGAGAAACCCTCAGGTAGGCCATAAGAACCGTTCCTTTGACTAACAATGAAGCTGAGTATGAGGCTTTAATTGCAGGGCTCGAGCTGTCTCGAGGGCTAGACTCTGAGGTCATAGAAATCAAATGTGATTCACAACTGGTTGTAAATCAGGTCTACGGGATCTTCGACACCAAAGAGGAACACATGCAATAATATGTAGTGAAAGTTCAGACTTTGCTCACATGTTTCAGGGAATGGTCAATCACCCATAACCCGAGGGAAGAAAATGCGGGAGCACACGCATTGCCCAATCTGGGCTCGTCCACGAAAATGAAGGGATCAGACTCCGGTACGGTCGTACAACTTATGCATTCGGTATTGGATGTGGATGGTTATTATGAAGTAAACGCGACCAATTTGGTCTGGGACTGGAGAAATGAGATCATTGACTATCTCAAGCACGAAAAACTACCCAAAAATCCCAAGGCATCCCGAGCACTACGCACCAAAGCAGCCTGTTACTACTTGCGGGGAGACCAATTGTATAGAAAGTCTTTCCAAGGCATGTTGGCCTGATGTTTAGGAGCCTCCGAGGCTAATTACATCATGATAGAAGTTCACGAAGGAATCAGTGGAAATCAACCGGGTGCGGACTTCTTGGTATTAAAGCTAATTAGGGTAGGATACTACTGGCCCCTAAAGGAACAAGACACTAAGACATATGTTCAGAAGTGCGATAAGTGTCAACACCACGCACCGTTGGTGCATCAACCAGCAGAACTATTTCACTCGGTTTTGTCGCCCTGGCCATTCATGAAATGGGGTTGGACATAGTCGGTCCG